TTTTTACATTAAATTTTTAAATATTGACAAAACATTCTTAAATGTTGACATATTAAGTTGAATTTTTTTAAAATAATAATGACTGATGCAAAAAATAATCATTGAAGCAAAAATTTTAGAGTTAAATGACTAAAAAGATATTAGAGCCATTATTGAGGTCAAGCTAAATCACCTTAAAAAGTTAAGTTTGAATTTGGATATATGAGCTTTTTTAAGGCTTTATTTGGTTCAAGAGGAGAAAGAAGAAGGAGAGGGGATGGAGGGGAATAGAAGGGAGGGAGGGGGAGGGGAGGGGAGGGGAGGAGAAGGGAGGGGGAAGGGGCTCCCCCCAACCAAACAACCTAAGAGTATATAATACTTTAAATTTAATTTGAATAAGTTCGATCTAATTAAGCTCGACTAATAAGCTGACTGCTATGATTTTGACTCTCTCTATATAGAGTTGGTAATTTGGCCCGTTCGATAGGTCAGGCTGAACTTGGCTGAAAAAAGTTAGGGTTGGACTTGCTATATGAGCGTTTTTAAGAATGTAGAATACTTTAAACTTGATCCGAATAAGTTCGACCTGAATTGAAACCTAGCCTGCTCAATTACCCCGGCTCTAAAAGATACTTTATAAAATTAAAGGATCAAATTGAAACTTATATAAAGTTAATGTATTAAAAGTATACTTAGTAGTCAAAAAACTTAACATATTTAGTTTTTATATATTTAAAATATTTTTTAATTAAATCAAGACATGTGAATTTTTTTATAAATTATTTATTTCATTATAATTTTTGTTATTAGTGTTATTAGGGAAGAGTGACAAAGAGGTCCCAAAAGGATCAATTAATTTAAGTTAGGTCTCAAGTACTAAACTTTAAAAATTATAACTCAATTTTTAAATTTTGCAACTGTATTGTGCTGAGTTTGTAATTTATTTTCAAATTTTAACATGGTTAAAAAAATAAAAAATTTATTTTTTTTATAAAATTTGAAAGACAAGTTGCAAGTTCATATAACTGAGTTACAAAATTAAAAATTGAGTTGTAAATTTCTGAAATTTGATACTTGAGATTAACTTGAATTAATTGATTCTTTTGAGACTTTTCTATCATTCTTTTTTATTTGGCAACATTAAAATATACTTGTCTTAATGAATGGATAAAAGATAACAAATAAGATTATAACATAATAATAAGATTGAGCATCTAAGTTTCACTCTATTAGTTATCAATTTTTGTTATTAGTATTATTATAACAAAAATCATTTGTTTTATCAACTATTATTTTCTTCTCTGATAATGATCAACGACTGTCAATTGTAACGTGCAGGAATTTTTTTTAATTATGACTTTAGTTGTATTATATTGAACTAAATTTTAGAGATCAAGTTATAACCAATCAATTAAGTAAAAAAATTAAAAGACAAATTTTTCCTTGATAATTAGAAAATGATAAATTTTGCCTAGAAAATAAAGACCAGATTTTTGAAAATTTAGGAGTGTGGTTGATTCACATTGATATACAAAAATTTTATTATTGATATGTAATATGTTTATCATTAAAAATTTAAAAATTACAAGAGGTTTATCATTGATATACAATGATATATCATTAACAAAAAATAATAAATCAACTATAATGTAAAATATAATAAATATTGGGCTACTTATTTGATTTGGTCCTATAATGAGTTATATATGAAAAAAAAAAAACCCATTAGAGAATTAAAACGACCTCTTAACCGTTATATAAATAATAATTAGAAGTCATGTGTGTTATAAACAGGGGAGGGTGCGTCTATGTGCGTAGAAGAAATAAGGCAAGCATGTGGGGGTGAGTGTATTAGTATTGGGTGTTGGTTTAAGTTAAGATCTCTCTCTCTCTCTCTCTCTCACACACACACACCAGATCTGTACATATTCAGTGCAAACGACTGTGTGGGAAGGCAGACGTGGGAGTTTGACGATGAAGAAGGAAGCAGAGAGGAGAGAGATGAAGCTGAAGCTGTTGTTAGTATTGGTTCAAACGCAGCCTGACAATACGTTAAATTAGTTATATGCCCTAATAGACGTTAATGAACATATTGGAAATATTAATGATGTGTTTGAATTAATGAAAGTTTGAATTTGAACCAAATTATAGCTAATATCATGATCTTTAATAAAAAAATTTATAATTTAAGGTCTTAAATTGTAATCACTATCATTCAGCAGTTCTTATTTGTTGTTCTCCATGATTCATTTTGTTAATCTGTTGGGAACTTTTGTGTTTGTGTGTCAAAAAAAAAATCTTACATTGCTCAAACTCGAAGGAGCTTTAGTGGTATATTAAGATAACAATTTGAACAAGTAGATGGTTAAAAAGAGAAAGCAGACTGATGCACATAATAATGAGCTAACATAGCTGAGATTCAACTTTTTTCCCTAAGCATGAGTTAGATGTAGTGCCAAACACTTTATTCATCATTAATTATCTTTAATATTAAAACTCAAAACAGCTTATATAAATTGGCGTTAAGTAGTATTTAATATTTGAATGGTCATTAAGTTATGTTTATTTGCCTTTAAGCAACTCATGGTCTTTTGAGCTATATAAACATGTGCCCAAGGTTGTTTGTTGACACACTGCTCAAAAGTCTTTGACCTCTTCTCTTTATTATTTTTATTTTTTTATCTTGAATTATTTCTACTATTCTATATATTATCCTATTCATTTACATAGGGTTTTGCTTAATCTTAGGAAGCTCTAATAATTATGCAAAATTGCTTTAAGATTGTACCTGGGTATGACTCGAAACAGATTTTCTACGTAATGTGCCAATAACTCCTACTAATAGGAGGATGCCAATTCAAATCTCCCATATATATAATAACTTAATAAGCATGCCCCGTTGTTTGTGTATAATATGTGGAGAAATAAAAAAAAAAA